CCCCCCAAATTGCCCCCCTAACTTCCGTTTTCCATAGAATCCATGGCTTTTCCCTGGCAGTCGAGTCTCGGCTCCCTTTCCTCTCGTCCAGTTTTTTGAGCATCGGGCCAGATGAACAAAGTGGTCACACTCAATCCCTCGTTCGTTCGTTTGGAGATCCCCGGATCTTTGCCACTCGCTTTCTGGCCGCATTTTGCAGAGTTTCTTGCAGTCTGTTGAGGTCCAAAAAATGCCTGCTTTGAGGAATTTTTGATTTTAAATGAACTGGCAAGACATACGTGATCTTTTTTGGCTACGGATTTCCGATGGATTTTGCCTGTTCCTTCAAAAAGCTCGTCAGCTAATATTTTTCGGCATTCCCAAATTAATTTTGCAAATTTTCCACATGATTTGATGCTTATTAATTCCAAAAATTTGTTGAAAAGCTTCCTGTCACGCGCCCTTTAAAAAGCCTTCAATACCGTTTTCCGACGATTCTTTAGCGTACCCTTTATTAATTTGTTCGTAGGCAAATCCATATCAAAATAATTATTTTGGCATCTTCTTCAATTTTAATATTTGAATTTTCTGTGACGCTCCCTTTAAAAATCTCTAAATACCGTATCCACGTTCTTATTATTGCTTTTTTGCGCGTCTGCCAAGCGGCCCGGCGATTTGTAGAATTTAAGTATTTGTGGTCTTTTGAATTCGAACCCCGGCTTTTGATGTCAGGCTCCCTTTAAAATCCTCTATTTCAGGATGTTGCCTCCTCCTCCTCGTCCCTCCCCTCATCAATCCGATCAATGATGGGTAGTTATTCTGGTGGAGGAAGTGAAGTGGGAGATGATCCCACTCCTTCTAGACATCCATTCGATATTTGGCCCGCTTCCGGTTCGAATTCCCTTCTACAACCCGGGCAGTCTGGAGGGACTCCGCATAATTTGTTGAATCCCGAGGATTGGGCTGGTAAGCGAGAGAATTGCATGTCGTAATTAGCGATAAAAACCGCTAATTTTTGAAAATATGACATTACGTAGCGTAATCGACTGTCCAGACAATTTTTTCTTTTAAATCAGCCCATCTGGACAGAATTAAATGTGGTAATCGATTGGCCTAGGGGATTTACATAACGTAGTCGATTAGCCAATGAAATCCTCGCAAAAATTAGAAGAATTACACTGGGTAATCGGCTATTTAAGCAAGCTTTAATCACTAAGTTTCGTAGATGGCGCTAAAATTTAATAGCGTAATCGAATAGTCCTTCGAAACTTTTACAAAAATGGGAATTCGGCGGAATTACATACGGTAATCGATTAATTTTGTCGATTTTTTTTGAAAATCGGTCAAACTGGATTGCAATTAGTCAGGAAACAAATTAGCTATTAAGGCCGGGATATTAAATAGCGTAATAGGATAGACATGCCTCTTTTTCTCGCCTTATCACTGCTAAAAGGTGTCCTATCTACCGTAAGCTTCGTCTTTTCAGGTGTCCCAGTATGGGCTGTTTATCTCTTCGCCGGCTGTGCAATGCTAATCGTTGCCGTGTTGATATTGGATTACTGTGTGATACGAAGAAATGCTCTCGGTACGGTGGTTTCGACTTTTTAGACGTTTTTAATTTTTTTTTTGAGCATACTGTCACATTCCCTTTAAAACGACCATATTTTTTTAGGAAACACTTGCTGCGCCCGATCGAAGCAAAAACGCGGCTCATCTCAGGGAGCACACGCCAAGAGATCCACCAATATGCTGCTGAATGTACGCGAATTTTAGAAAACGGACAGACAGACAGACAACACTGACAGACAGACGCACAATCTCTGCACTAATGGACAAACTGCCAGGCAGTTTAGCTATTACACAACAAAAACCCCGCAAAAATACCACTAACCGCGCACTAATAGACAATCCACATAACAGACATTTAGACACACAAACCAACATACAAATCTAGGTGTAACTCCACCAATCGATAGTCTGCCTGGCAGTTTAAAAGAAAAATACAAACTACGAAGTACAACCCCCTGTTTTGGAGCATTAATAGACGAATACGTGTGCTTCCGCCCCTTTCCGAGTTGATACGATACTAATCCCGCCCCTAATTTTGTGTGCAACTTTCCTTTCGGCACCCATCGACACACAGAGCATATATCTATACTGTAGCATTCCACTGCCTGTCAGACATGTTAGCAATATATCATCCACAAAAATTAATGCAATCACGGAGCTTTGGCATTATCGGGGGGATTTTTACCTAAGGGTCCAAAAATGCTTAGTAAAATAATATTAAGGATTTTCATAGTGTTTTTGGCTAATTTAAGCATAATTTAAGTGCAAAAACTTTCTAGAAAACTTCGAAAAAATTGAAATTTTGTAGAAAAATCGAAAATTTGGGTTGAAAATTGATATATCTTTGCAATTTCGTAATTTTTTCTGTTGCTTTAATTGGGTTCTAAGGATATTGCCTCCCCCCCCCCGATGACGCAAAAGCTCCCACTAACCCCTCTGCGTGTCTGCCATCTCCCGTCTTTGTGCTCTTTTCCTCGCCTATCTCTCGCGTGGATACTGTACCCCTCCAAAGTTTCCGTTCTTTCTTTTGTACGATGCAATACTCTCTGTACGCACGGAGCACTGTGGACTCTTCGAGATCAGAAGGCGCACCAATTACCGTACACCCACCCCATCACCACCACCTCTCCATCTATGGCAAGCCAATTTTTCTGAATTTTTCGAGTTTTCTTCTAGTTTTCGAATTTTCTGAACGTTTTTGAACTTTCTGGCTGGCAATTGAGAGATTCGACGTTTTAATTCCGGAAAAAGATTTATTTTGGGTTTTAAAGGATCGGTTATTTTTAATCTATTCTATTACGGTAGGAAATTAAACTCAGTGTTTTAGTGTTTCAACTGACATATAGCAAACGCCAAAATCTAGTTTGACATTTTTTCGACTTAATCAAGCCGTCACGCTCCCTTTAAATTCCGAAAAGTGAGTATTTTGGTCTTTAGAAAGATACAAATTGATTAGATTACGATAGGTAATTAAGGAAAATTTTCTAATTGTCGGTTTCGCTGAACTGACATCCAGTCGACAGGAAACACCAGTTTTGAAAAACTTTATCGATATTTCTACCCTTGACGCTTCCGTTAAACCCCAGAAAATCTCAGAAATTCCACTCGGATCGATCTCAAAATTGCCAGCCACTTTTCGCTTGGCTTTCATTTGCCATTCCTTCTCTGCCAAGCTTGGGACAAACTGTGCTCTTTTCTTTTCCACTTCCGCCGCGAAAACAACAACCACAACGGAACGCTCCTCTTTACGTTTTCCGTTCATTTCCGGACTGCGCTTGACGTGTGAAACCCCCTCGGAATTGCTTGTTGACTGAATTTTTGAGTTAAAAATTGGACTACGGTATGTATTGGCAGTCAGATTATCGATTGTCAAAATATACCGTAAGCCAGAAAATCAAATTATGCAAATTAGGGATCAAAAGAGAGAAAGAGAGAGAGCATGGCTTGAGCTTGGGAAGGCATGTCAATTGGATTGCCGCGTAGCATTATTTTATTTATTTTCATTTTTTATATAGAAAAATCGTAAAAGTGGGTTCCAGGGCCTGGGTTACTGTATCTGGGTGTCAATTTTTCGGATTTTGAGTCCACCTTTTTTCAGAAAATGTCCCGTATGCCACCGATGGATCAGGATCAATTTATGTGCTAAATCACGCAAATATCACGCGCCGAATACTGCAATTCACGAATTGTCTATCCAACTATCCCAACTGGCCAGTCCACCACACTCCACGCGACAGTATATGCCCTACCGTCCCTTTTTCTTATTCTGTGCCCTCACGAAGTATCGAAAAAATCCTATTTTCCCGTGTTCTGCCGGCCACTCGGCATGTTGGCTGCTTTGGAAAAGCTCAACCCTGAAATTCGAGGATTCTGGTGGATTTCATGGCGTAATCAGATCGACTTGGGGCCAGTTAGGTTTTCGAGAAGGATTGAATTTATGTATTTTTTTACTGTATACCAGCTAGAAAATTATATCAAAAATCGGAAAACTCCGAGCTTTTCCATCTAAAAAATTTTTAAAATGGTTTTTTAATTAATTTAAGTTTTTTTATATTGATAAAAATATACAGTACCCCGAGAAAATCGGGAAACTACCGTAATCCATAAATTTTTCAGGATTTGAGATTTTCCAAAAATGCCAAATATCATTTTTTTACGAATGATTTCTTCGCCATCCCTTTTCTATATCATACATTCACAGGGTGCTTCAGTGACCACAAAATATTTCTTTTTAAGTTTATTTCTTTTTTAATGCTTTAAATTGTATGCCGTTACTGCAAAAATCGAACCAAAAACACACGCGTCCCCACCCCTCCCTCCCAATTCCACATCACTGCTATGTACACACCCACACTACCTGGCGGCCAAATTTATTGATTTCCTTTGATGCGATTTTTGTAATGTTAAAATGTTATATTTATCTGTATTTTCATTAAGTCCATATTATAATAATAATAAAGGATTTAATTGATATCACAAAAATATGCAAAACAGGAAAATAGAATGATCGTTTTAAAGGAAGTACGACACCGTCAAATATTCTCGCCTACAGTAATTCTATTCCAATTTTAATCTTCAATTTAAGTTAACTGGCAGTCAGTTTAATATTCAGAAACCTTACAAATTCCAAAATCTGCCAAAATTAGTTTTTAGCGAACAAAAGTTAGAAATCGAGGCTTTCCAAATCTCGATTTTTGGTGTCGCGTTCCGTTTAAAACCCGACATTGTGCTATTAAAAAGTTAGCTTAACGTTCAATTTCTACAATATTCCTTTATAAAATGGTAACACAAAATGTCGATCACAATTCGGTACAACGGGGATCGAAATAAAAATAAGAAAATAGAAATTCGTTGGTAGTGTGTCCGTGTATGGCTAGTGCGTAGAGGGGAATTTGAGCAGATTTTAGAAAGAAATAAAAATATTAAAGGTTATTTTCGGCATATTTTAATCAATCATTCAGACCTAATTGTTTTGCAATTCTCAACCTGGCAGCGTGTACCATCACTTGTTCATAGATCTCACTCGACATCAAATCCATTCGGTCTTCTTCGGCAAAGCTGAAAAAAATGGATAATTTACGGTGATTAGGATAGGTTTATGCAGGAGATAAATTCTCGTAAGCAACGTACTCTTCAATATTTGGCATTTCCGCTTCAACCTCTGCCTGACTGTCCGATTCTCCTCCAATCGATTTCATATCCAGGGGAGGCACGCTGAAAAGCAAAGTGAAAAAGTGGCTTGGCACGAAATGGAATCAATCGATGTGAACCGATCGATAATTGTCGGGAACGCCCGTCTAACGGTCTGGGCTCTCTCCTCTTTCCCTTTTCTCTCATCCCCGCTCGGCTCGAAACTCAAACTTTTTTAAGCCATGCTTTTTTCTATTTTCGAGCTTCTTGCGTAGTTTTTCCCTCTGTTACACTACCTTTAAATCTACTCCACTTACCCAAATGGCCTTGCATCCTTTTGTACCATCCTCGCTTGTTCCAATTCCCTCACCAGCGTGTCCACCTCCGTTTTCAAATTGTCGTTTTCTTGCCTGAATTTGGATTTTGCAATTTTTCTAGCGTTTCTGGATACGAAACGATAAAATACATGCCAGTTCAGCTAGTTTTGAAGCTTAGACGTTAAAACATCAAAGTCTTATCCTTTTTAAAAGCCTGGAGACAAAAAACGTACTGGGAATCCTCCAAATTCTTCGAAATTGTCGACAACTCGCCGAGCAATTTTCCGACTCTTGTTTGCTCCTGAAAAATTGATTATTAGTATTCACAATTGCTTAAAAACCAGTTGAATTTTTGTGATCTATATTCCATACCTCCAACGTAGCCACAGCCGCCCTAATCGGTGCTTTCAACGCCTGGGTCTCCAGTTTCTTTACCAGTTTTAATAAATCTTCGCGTGACCATTCACCAAGTTCTGAAGCGATAAAATTGTAGTTTGGAGGTCAGTTGGTGGTTTGTAGTCTTTATAAAGGGGGGGCAACGAACCTGGATCGGCTTTATCGAGGGCTTCAAGCCGTGCTATTCTCTCCTTCAGATACTTATTTTCTTTTTTGAGGGATTTATATTTTCCATAAAGTCTCTCGTGGTGTGTCATCAGTTCGTCGAGGGACCTAAAAAAAAAGATAATTTTCAATTAAACGCGGAAAGTCGAGACTAATAATCGCCACTTTAAATCTGGGGGTTTTTAGCGTAATTTCGTATCGTAATGGAATCCAGAAAATGGAGCGGGTAGAACAGGAGCTATGACATTCAGTAAAAAAACGTAAAGCCTGAATCTGTTTCCGCTTCAACGAGTCGGTTACCGGAAATCGCGAAAAAATGCGAGAATATCTCGCCGCGTTTTTTTTTTTAAAAAGTTTTACATTCAAACTGGATGAAAATCTTGCTTTTTATAGCTTAAACCTAGATTTAGCTTTTTTTATATGTGCTATAGTTTTTTGACTTACTGCGTCCTTTCCAACGCTTCCTTCTTGGCTTCTTTCACTTCATTATGCTTTCTATTTTCTCTGCCCTCTCTCGATTCTCTAATCGTCTGTCCCCTCTGTTCGCTATGTCTTCTCTCACTCGCTGCCGATCTCGCTCTCACACGTTCTTTTTTCATGCTTCTAAAGGAATCCATTAAGCTATAGAATTTCTACAATAACCCACTCAATGACAGCTTTTTGTTGTTTTATTAGTGCTTCAGATTTGACGAGCCTCCTTCCCATATCGACCATGGTCAACGCTTCGTTTGTATCGTACGATTCCGCTGGTTCGAACTAAAAATATGTCATTTTTGACGTTTTTACATGTCTATATTCTGCCTTGACGGTCCCTTTAAAGGGATCGGGAAGTGCGTGGTTTGACGCTTTTCTCGACTAGGTCTCGACAGCTACGCGACACGCCAAACGACGCCGTGTCTCGTCATCCTGACGTGAAACGAAGGGTTAATCAACAAGTTTCGTACGTCCTTTTTGGAGCGTCGCGTATTATCGAGGCCTAGTCGTTACAGGGATGAGTTTCTGCCTTGTGAGTCGCTTTAAAGGCGCCAGAAAGCGTGTGAAAATCGAGCCCATTCGATGGGCTAGGCACGGCTACGCAAAAATACGCTGTTTTCCGCCCTTTGGTGGCCAGAAACAAGCAATAATCAAACGTCATTACAAGCGTTATTGGAGCGGCGCGTAGCTATCTAGAGCCAGTCGAGGGTGCGGGGTAGATTTATGTTTTCCCATTCCCTTTAAAATCACCAACCTGCCCTCGATGCAATAATTTCTGTAGATGTTGTTCCCGTTTCCCAGAATGTGTCGACAGCTTCAATAGTCTGGTCTTCAGAATTGTATTTTCCTGTACGAGCTTTGCGCAATTCTGAAAAATCATCTGATTTTCAATCTAATTCAGGATATCTGGGCTTTTAAAGGAGCAATGAAGATACCTTTTTAGCATTTAGAAGCTGTTCCCTGGCATCGGTCAGCAATTCTTGCCTAGGCGATCGGCCGGCCATCGATTTTGGGACTTGGGAAAAGACGGAAACGGCTGATGGGACACGGTAGGCTGCCATCCTGGTGTTGCCTGGAAAAATGTAGATCGTACTCTAAAGCCGCGCTTAGACTACCGTTAGTTTAACTGATTGTCAGAATAGGCAAAAATCTGATACTTATGAACTGCATACTGTCGCCACTTTTTCAAACTTTTGAGCACATTTGCCTAAGTTTTGTAGCTTGCAGTCTTGCAAAATTCGTCGTAATTTTGATTCGATTCGCTTTTCCGGCTGTCAGATCGTAAAATTAAGCTATTTTGTATAGCATATGGTTTTTTACTGAAGTTTGTAGGTTGTATCCGCTTACCTGGATGGGCTGGTGGCAACATCGTGCCGCTCGGTCCCGCCGCGCTATCGTTTCTTGTCCTTTTTCCTTTGACTTTTGGCGCATAAACCTAAAGACAACGGTGGGCTACAAACTACAAAATCAGGAATTACCTGGCGTACAGTGGCCAGCCTGTCTTCGAGCATCTCCACCATTTGGCTAGCTCAACATTAGGAGGGGAGCATTGTGGAAGTGCGCTAAAAATGGTGCGGGTTTTGCACCCAAATTAAAAAATTCAGCAAAATACAGCGCCTTAAAACTTTTTAAGAGATTAATTGGCTGCCAGTTCACGGAAATAAAATGTAAAAATAGATAAAATAGGTAATAATAAATTAAAATAGGTTTTTGCGATTTTTTGCGATTTTTAGCATTACAAACGCCCTTTTCGTTATTGCATTTCAGTAAACTGGCTGCCTTACAGTACTCCAAACATTTTAAGGCGCGGCTTGCATGCCAGGAAACAGTAATACGGCGCAAAAGGAAGCTGAACGCGAAAATAATTTGCAAAAACTAAATAAATCAGCGTTTAAATACGTTTTTAAACAATTTTTGTCGACTTTTAGCTTTGAAAGTGCAGCTTTTTGCTCACATTGCAGAATCTGACTGCCATACGGTATTCCAAACGCTTATAAATATTGTTTGCCGTCCAGAAAACAGTACTACCGAAGTCAGAAATTCCGTAGAAACGAAGGGGGCGCCTCGAAAATCAATCCAGAAAACAAGAGGTATCCGAGCGGAAATCCCCGGGGCTAATCTACAGATTTGGTGACAGAAAAAGGCCCCGACAAAAACTAATAACAGAAGTGGGAGAAGCCTTTCGGTATTTTGGAGCAGAGTTTAGAGGGGAAGAGAGAGAGGAAAAGAGAAGAGGGAGCAGAGAAAGAGAGGGAAAAAGTGCGCGATGTCTTGAAATGCGCTAGAGACACATTGTTGCCATGGAGATGCAAACAAACTGAAGTCGCGGCGAGAGAGCAAGAGAGAGAGAGAGAGAGCGAGAGAGAAATTGAAGGCGTAGAAAGGATCGGAGCGGAATCGCGCGAAACCAGTTAATTGGCCTGTCTGCGCGACAATTTGTAATTAGCGAGCGAGAATGCAAAACGAAACGCTTTATATAACACTACGAAACGATACTATGGATGACAGATAGATGATAAACCAAAAACACGGCTTGGATATAGCTTTTTAGCCTTGCGAATTACCGTAATTTGTTGAAAAAAACCGAAAAATCTTGGGTTTTTCGTGATTTTTATTGGTATTGACCGCTAGATTAGCGAGTTTTGTAGTTTATAGCCTGAAAAAACGTAGTTTGTTGTATTCCGGAATTTTTCAAGTTTTCTTTTTATCGGAAACCACCGGCAATGAGACCAAAATAGGGGAAAAGAGAAATAAGAAAAAGACGAGAATTGCAGCACCAAAAAATGAGAAATTTCAGGGCAAAGATTTGGCGAGGTATACGGTAGATGACTGGCAGTGAAAATAGTGATGAGAATGATGTTGAGATCTAGCAAATTGAGGGCAGGCAAAATCGAGAAATTGAATTGGATTTCAAAGGGATCGAGACCACAACAGAGCTGTCACGTTCCCTTTAAAAATTTGTACAAAAAAATGACTTCTTTGGCATAGCTGTTCAGGCAGAAATATCGACGAAAGATTGGAAAATGCACAAAAATCGATACATATGGCAACCAAAAGATTATCAGATTAAAAAAGCGTTTTTCAAATATTTGAGCAAGCGGCCGGCGGGAAATGGAAGGCTGTTGGCGTTGATTTACGACAGTCAATTACACGCACTTCGATGTCGGATGGAGGCCTGAAAAAGATTAGTATTGCTGGGCTACGGTATCAATTTTTTCGGCACTCACTCTTTTTTTGAAACCAGGTTTTCAACGGCAAAATAAGCCCTCCAAATTCGATAAAAAAAACTACTTATAATCATAAAAAAATTTTCTTATTTTCAGACCGACATACCGTAATATAACATCGACCGGACTGGAATATCTCGGTGGCGGAGAAGTGGTGCAGATTCTTTGAACGGCACCACATATTGAGTAGATCGGAGGTGCATATCTGAAAATTGGAAATTGTACGCGAAACTACAGGCTTCAAAACGGCTACAAACTATAAATTAACCTACAAACCACAGCTGCTGCGCCACCTCTAAAGTCTAAAAGATTGCCCAGTAGAGTTAAATGAAGATGTTTTAAAATTTTAAAATGGAAAAACGTGGCGCGCCAGACTACAACTTTTAGCTACAAAAATTCTAGATGTCGCGCTCCCTTGAATAGAAATAAAGCTATGCTGATATTTAATTTTTGGCGAAAATAAATGCCGAACTACGAAATACAACCTGACAGTTCAGCCTGTTGTACTCCTTTAGAAGTAAAAAAGGCTTACTGTCTCTCCCTGTCTCCAGCTTCGACATCTCCTTGTTGCCCTCCTTGCCCCTGTTGTGCCTGATCATAACTGGGTGGTGGTGGAGGTGCCAGCATTGTTGGTGGCGAATCGTGGCAGAATTGTGGACGCGGGATCAGCATCGGGGCAGCTAAAGATGAAACCTTGATCGTTTTGGTGGCAAAAATCGCTTAATTACAGTCAGAATAGTCAAGTAGCCAAGTATAATTCAGTTTTTTTTGGATCTTTGAGCTCTAAATTAATTTATTTAATGGATTGTTATCCATTTGATTTGGGGAAAAACTGAAAAAATTTCGTTCCGTCGTACCAATTTTGAAAGTTGCGAATTTCCAAAAATTTTGTTTGCTTTTGTTTAAATTGGAGGCTTTGAAAAAGCAGCAAACTGGCTGACTGTCGATTTACAGTATATCCTCGAAAATCCTAATTTTCGCGCGCATTTTCCTAATTTTTGATTGTTTAATTATTGACTGGCTAGCGTTGGTGGATATCGGCCAGCTGTCAATTAGCCATTTTGACAGGAGTCTCTCCCCGTAGATGACCTTGGCCCTTCCCTTCCCTTCCTATAGACAAACACCTCAAAATAGGGGGCCCTGCAGGCAGGAGGATAGATAATTATTGGTCTCTTTCTCATGACTGTCACTCAAAACAACGGTAGATCATGAGAATGGATGGCAGATGGGAGAATGAAAAAACATGAGAAGCTTTTAAATGGCGACAGCAAAAAAGTTGGCATCTAAACGCGCAAAGATCTGGCTCAAAATTGTAATTTTCTTCTATTTTTTTGTGGATTTTGTATGTTACATTTTAGAATTGCATTTCATGTTTTTTCCAATTTTTTCACGCTGCTTTCTATAGAAAATTGGTGATGAATTAAAAAAACTCGAAAATTAAATTGTAACATCTGAGAATGAAGGGTTTATCGAAATTTGCAAGTAAAATTTGTCGCATTTTCTAGCTGTTCACCCCTTCTGGCGCTCATTACAACATTTCCACCCATTTTCAGTCCAATTCCCCCTCTGGAATAAATGATTTTTCATCCCGTGCTGTCTGTTCGCTCACATCAATCAGGGGGTCAAATCTACCCTAGAGGGAGGGGGTGTCCATCTGCCAGCGGCAACAAGTGGCCTTTCTGGCTCTCTCTCTCTCTCTCTCTCTCTCTCTCTTCATCTAGCCTAACACCCTATGCAAATTTGTCCCGGCCACCATCTACTCGGATATTCTCGCGCGAACCCCGGAGGGAAATTGGTGGCTGAATGCCCGGGGCATCGTAGCGGCTCGGAATCAATCCTCAAAATTGCAAAATATTGGGATTCCCACCTTGATTGGGTTAGTTTGTGTTCCAGTTAGGCTAAATTACGCAGTGAATCAAGAAAATTCCATTTAACGACGAAATTACAGTAGTTTGAAACGTTCAAAAACTGAAGCTTCGCAAAACTACATCAACTATTGTTCTAAAATTCAATAGTTGACGTTAAGTAAGCCCGGAAAGAATTACAGTAGTAATACTGCTATTTAGCGAATTAAAAATAATTGGTTGCGGCAAGTCTATGAGCGACGAACCACAGGTGTCATGCTCCCTTTAATTGACCTGGCGGGACCATACGGACACACCATTTTTTCCCTGAATTCTTGAGACCAATTTGGTACCTGAAATGGTACCGCCTTGGCCAACAACCAGTTTTTGTGTAAGACATAACCGAGATCGACAGGTTTCTGCCCGTCTCACGCTTTCTCTCTCTCTCTCTCTCTCTCTCTCTCTCTCTCTCTCTCTCTCTGTCTCTTTCTCTTACCGGAAATACCCCTAAGGGCTCAAAATGGATGTCTCCCTCCTCTCTTTGTTCTGTAAAGGGAAGGGATGGCATATGGCTTCCGATTTTCATCGAGGAGGGAAAGGCAGGTGGCCCATCCCTTTTGAAGGGCAAAATGGGAAACGGGGAATTGGCGCTACAAAGCGTCAAGGAAACACCGATCGCAAGTCATAGGCGTTTTAATGGTAAAAATCGCGGCAGTGTGATTCCTCAAAGAAACCCTGCTAGCTTGCCTGGTTATTTCAGCTGTGATCTCAAATAACCTTCGATAGCTTGTCCTCCAGCAGAAAAATTTCCGTAAAATCCCTCTGATAGCTTGCCTAGAAAGCCTCCACAGAGATTTCTGCTAGCTTGCCTTGCAGCCAAAATCCTAGATTTGTCCGCAAAGAACTTCTTCTAGCTTGCCTTTTAGCGCGCTATTCCTTCCGGAAATCTCGCTGCTAGCTTCCCCGTCAGTCAGATAGCTTAAAAACCATATTTTCGGGAACAGCCTCCGCCATCTTGCTCTCCAAATGACCCCTCTCCTTAATCGCTATTAGCTTCCTCATCAAAAATGTAAATTATGGTTAATTTTTGGATGGGGATCGGTATTTCGGGACGGGCCACCCATTTGTCTTGAGCGAGAGGGAGAGGGAGAGAGAGCGAGAGAGAGAGAGGGAGAGAGAGGGAGAAAGATGCAAATGAGACTCAAATGTGGGGATATATTTCCTCTCTTCCTTCTCTCTATGGGCAGATGGTCATCCCCCTCTTGAACCCTCTAAAACCATCCATCCCGGTATCCCTTTATTTGCCGGAGGAGGGGGAAGAGAAAATTGGGTTTTTCGTCAAGTGATACTTCAATTAATACCCCGAGGATGGGCGGGAGCCTTTTGCAGAGAGATTAAATTATTTAAGGGGGTCTATTGATTTTTGGGTGGCAGAATAGCGAAAAATGCAATCATTTTTGTTGAAAAGACCTTCAGAGAAAAATACGCTAGTTTTTGGGGTTTTAAATTATATTTTGGCGGTTAGATTAGAAAAAAATTCATACACCTTAGTTTTTTTAGGCTTTTATATGCTGAAAAACTGACTCGAACACCGAAAACCATTCGAGCTGGTCGATCTTCGCAAAAATCGGCCTCCAGACAAGGGACGATTCCGGTGATCGAAGTAGTTCGCCTGAAAAAAAGTAGTTAAATCATTGATTTAATTTATTACACAAATTCGGCCAAAAAAATTTTCCTTCAAGATCGGATTTTTAAAGCAAGATTTATTTTGATGATTTTAATATAAAAAAGCTTTTTTAATTAATTCAACAAAACATTTCAAATTAATCTCAAAATTACCTGATAAGCACGCAAAAATACTCGATCCACAGGAGGTCTTCCGACAATTTCCACGGAGAGCACTTTCCAAGCCACCACGCTGACAAGCATCAACACCACGCCGATCACTCAAAATGTTCATGTCGTTGGTTTTAAATTCAAAAATGGTAAATTTTCTAGCGGTTTTAGCTGTTCCGCCAGACAACTTAAACAAATGCCATGAAGTTTAGAACTAAAGCTTTCAAAAATATTTTTTTAAACCAAGAATCTTCGACCTTCTGCTGCTTTTCCTAGTCTTTTTTACGAGTACTATACATTTTTTACTTTTACTATACATTTAAGTAGTTTTTAATATTATAGTATTAGCGTGTATTAATTAAGATATCATTTTTCGGTGTTTTCCAGTATATTTAGACGCATTTTTTCGATTTTTCGAATGTCATTTTTTGAAAAAACTGTGAGTTACTGATCCTTTTAAAACAATTTTTGACCGACTCTTAAGAACCCTTTGTTTTTTATTTACCGCCCCTTTTCTTAACTGTCCTTCAAAGTATCCCGTAACCCCCTTGGGCCGTTACGGTAAGCACCTATTTACGGGATCGTCCTCCTTTCAACAGTCTTGTGCTCAATGAGGGGGTACACAAATCGGCGGCTAGCTGTTTCCCAATAAAGCCCCCACCTCTCTTGGCTACACCACGCTCCAAAACACGTAAATAAGCCGAGTAGCCAAGTCAAGAAGAAGATCTCTCTTGGAAGATCTCAAGGCCAAAATCCTGCGCTGGCCGTCGCCTGGGGACAATATGCAAAAACAGCCCTCCTCCTTTCGGTCCTTTCCGTTTTTTGGCAGACCACCTGACTTTGGAACTGTCCCCCACCAATGTCACTTTTTAGACTGGCAGCCAGCAGACAAGTTGCAACCAAAAAATTAGAAGTTTAGGCGGGAATTCGAAAAATTTAAAATTTTCCGGGAATCTCGTCAAATCATTAAAATTCGAAACGGTATAACTTTAAAATTATCATGATTTTATTACGTGAAAAAATATTTCATTGCTATCTGCTATCCAAAATATATTAAAAAATTATGCGGGTGGGTTTTTAAAAAAATATCGAAAACAAAGGCGGTTTGGCGGGGAATCTGAAAAAATTGGAGTTTTTTGGAGTTGCGCTAAAATTAGGAAAATTGGAGTTCAAGAAATTTTCTGAATATGACGATTGTTATTTTTTATAAGCATAATAATTATTTGATAGAGATAAAAATAAAAATAAAACAACTCAAGAATTTTATAAAACTTTTTAAAAACCAATTTTTGGGAAATTTTAAAAAATAGAAAAATTTCTTAATTTACCTAATTTGTAAAATTTATTATGATTTTGACTTGCCATTCACCATACTGTACTCCAGTTGCAAATTCACACCTATTTCCGCCTAGCTAGCACCCAGTTCTCCCCAAATTTTTGTGGGAACCCCCTACCAGCTCTGGGTACCTGGATTCCCAAGGAACCTGCCCCGGCCTTTTGACGAAAAATTAGCGAACCCCGTTGCCCGAAATAAATCCCGCTCGCCCAGCTGGGGGTCACTTAGCAAAAAAAAAATTTAGGGAACAATAACGACATGGGAAAACTCGAAAAAATTGAAAACTCACCGATAATGAAGGCGCGGAGGGTCTGGCTGGCCGCCGTTAGGACGAAGAGGGAACCGATGATGGAAGAAGCTCCAACAGCAGAGACAATAATGATAAATAGCCGCAGAATGAGTAGCATATCACAGCGCGGGCCATACCAGCCCATTTTTGGAGTTTTTTAGAGGCGGAGTGTCGCGGAATAGTTTGAATAGTTTTGAAAATAGTTTTCCAATTCGAATTTTGTAGAGTTTTATAGCTTCAATATTTGGTTTTCAATATTTTTATAGCTAACTGACGTCAATTTGATCTAATCTGAGGGTTAGCACCGCTAGAAAATAACTTTTTAGCCCTACGGAAATAGCTACCGTAGCCGACTCAATCTTCAAATTTTGAGAAATACTGTAGAATAAATAGTTTTTCAGGTTCTTTAACAGCCAGTAGGACTAAAGCGGAAATGTTCGTGGCAAAATATAAGACGCGCGGCCCGGGGTGCCAGCCACAAAATTTCGGCAGATGGTACCCGACGAAGGGACGGGCAGAAGAGGCAGAAGGGGCAGCAGGCGTGGCCCCCGTATGTTGTTCTCTCGCTCTCTCGGCTCTCTCTAGCATAGATCAGGGTGTTGTAAGGGTCACTCTCTATCGCTCTCTCTCTCCCTCTCCACTCTCTCGCGCGGTGGACTCGAAAATATCCGCAGGGCAACAATGGCCAGTGGTAGAGGAGGGGGGATGGAGGATGTGCCCTGAGGGGGCATTGATAGCCCAGATACAACCTAGATAATTGGATGTGTTGATCTTTTCTCTGTCGGTCTGTCTAACTGTCTGTCTCTCTATCTCTCGCCACATCCGATTCGGGTGTCATGTTCGACCTTGATTGAGCCGATGGGAGGCCGAAAAACTGCTGGGAACTTCCTGAAATGACTGGAATAAGTCTTAAAGGACGGTGAAGCCAAAAACACCACGGATTTGACTAAACTGCTTTACATTCAACACAGAAACCAAATTTGCGCTCCGCGCATTAATCGCACAGAAGATATTGTCGAATTGTCTTCCAAAAAAAAAGCGATTTTCAGAGTTTCAAGCGAAAAAATAATGTGTTTTTCGTTCATACCGTTTTCTTGCATCTGAATGTTGTAGATTACGGTAAACTGTCATGCAAATAGCACAGAAAAATGCATTCCCAACTCGGCGCACTAATAGAAGGATCAAAACCCAATCCTTTCCGGGCCAAAAATGTTATTTTTCGATTTTTGGGGCAGCTCTTTTCTATTCCTTCTTATCTGACTAACTCGACTGCCAGTAAGCCAACTGCCAGCCAGAATATCCAATCTCGGGGGCCAAATGGATATTAACTTCCTCCTCGCCCGGCTGGGAGTCACAGATGGTCAGTCGGCGCAGTGGGGGTTGGGGTGACTCGGGAATCCGAGAACTGCTAATGGCCAAATGATAGCCCACACACTCCCTCTGCCAGTCAATGGATATGGCCATTTAGAATAGTGGAGATGCTGACCCAAAAAGGCAGCATATGGACAGGGTTCAATTAGATGCTGATCTGGCGCACGGATGCCAAAAAAGGTTCAGAATATTTTTGAGCCATTTTTAAGAATTTTGGAGGGTAAACTTAGACGTTGTTTCAAGAGGAAGATCGAGTGGAAATTACAAAAATTGTAGCGCTAAAAAGGAGTCTGAAGATTTTATGAAGCTTTGTAGCTCGTAGCAACAAATTTTGTAGTTTAAAATTTAGCGTCTTTTCCAAAAAATTATCAACTCCGAATTTTCCAGCAGATTCTTACAGAATCCTCGCGGCGCTGTCCTTCGTTGGTTTAAAATTTTAACGAATTTCTCAGGGAAAGCTCTCAAAAAGCAAAATTTTGCACATTTTTGAAATCCCTCAAGGAAATCTGCTAACATCACCTTCGGACGGTATCGAAGATTTTCGCAACTACCTCTGCTAGCCTGCCTATCGCTTCGAATTTCCAACGTTTTTTTCCAGGTTGGTCGATTGAATTTGACAGGCCCTACACTCCAAGGGTCTTTGCTAGCATCCCCTCGAATTCAGATTGTAGATGACCGTTTTAGCCCGATTAAAAGGGTTCTAAAGTCAAATCAATAACAGATCGCAGCTCCTCGCTTCATCCACATTTGGAGGGTTTTGATGACCGGATTATCAAGAATCGAAATCTGTTAGGAAGGACAAGAAAGAGAGAGAGAGAGAGAGAAAGAGAGAGAGAGCCAGAAGGTGTAGAAAAGCTGATAAATGACCGATTTCGCTCTCGTTTGACCCGAGAAATGGCACACGATCCGCCTCTCGCCACTAAGACAAGCTTATAAGCCGTCAATCCATGTCCCCAATTGCTCGTCCATCTCCCTAAAATGAGCCCGACAACTACCGTACTCCTCTTATTTGCTATTATTTCTATTGTCTACTCTCAATCACATTGCAAGATCAATGTCAAATTTCGATCGAAGACCGATAAAGAGGTTTGTGAATTTTACGGAGATTCCTACCTTTCCCAAAATATCTCTGCCAGTTTGCGTCTTTCATGACAGTCAGTTAGCGCAAATTTGATATTTGGAGGGCTTGGCAAGCCAGCAGGGACTTTTTGAGAATCAGGAACATTCAAAATCCAGCTTTTTCGGTCCCAGTAAGAAATTAAGTAAAGGCAAACTAGCAGCGATTTTTTGTGAAAATTAGCAGGGGCATGCTAGAATGGGTCATGTGAGGATGAGAATGGTTCAGTTATTCAGTTATTCAGGCAGCTAAAAAGCAAGCTAGCAGCTATTCTTTAGAAGAAACGTGGAAATCACCTAAATGCTAGTAAAACAGCTGATTTTGGTGAAAAGCAAGCTAGCAGGGTTTATTTGGGATAATTGGCAGGCAGTTTAGTCGTTTTTCTACTGGACAGGCTAGCAGAGAGCCATAGGGAATGTATAAAACGTAATTTTCAGACCATTTCCAGGTGCAAGTCGACATGCTGATCCCGGGATCTCTGATGAAAATGGAGCCCTTCACGATGGATCACAAGAATCAGAATAAAAGCGTTATGGTACAGAAATAGCTATCGTATAGATATAATTCATGTATTCAGGTGAAAGGCGATGATTGCGAGAAGAAGGCGTGGTTGATTCGCGTCTGGAAGCTGGAGGGAGACGAGTGGGTCGTCGCCAAGAAGGCCAAGATGAAGCTCTTCGGCAATGGCGGATGGTAAGTCGATTTTTTTTCGTGATTTTGACGGGTACATGACAGCTAGACATTTTCTAGACTGCAGACTGCGAATTTTGGGAATTGTCGATTTTGCGTCATAATATTTTTTCCTCGCCGTCGTTTTGAAAATTCAGAATTTTTCAACCCCCCGAAAATTATTTTTGCAATCGAAAGTAGGCGTTTAAAACCTACAAACTACAACTTTTGGATGCAAACGATAAAATTAATTTCCAGGATCCGCGTGATCATCGAAGACGACTACACCCCGCGTCTTTTGGACCGTTACGGAGTGATGTGTTTTGATGGGGACTGCGGATAAGATCTGGCCTAAATTGTGCAATGATATTTAATGAAGAAACCGTGCTAATAAAGCCCTTAACTTATTTAATTTACATTCTGAAAATATCGGTCTTCTTCTCCAAATCGAAACTTCCTAATCGAAGTAACAGTTAGTTCAATCCGAACCCTGTTCGTGAGACAAGAAAGACATAAAAATTGATTCACTGCGGCATGAATCCAGAGATGCCGATTTGTGGCTTTATATTAACGCAAAAAGCAAAAAGTAAAGAGCAAAATATAGGCGGAGCAGGGGGGAGGGATTCGAGCTGAGCATGCTTGGGGCCTGTAGTGCAAAACACTTTACAGTGACCCATGGAGGCGCCACGAAGAGAAGAGAGGATGGCCCATATCTAGCCAGGCCTCTAGCGGAACATCGGCTTTCTGCATTGAAGTAGGCCAATAAAGCTAAAGAAAAGAACGCGGAATAACGCCCAAATGACGGTATGCAAAGTGAAATAGCACTGCAACTTTTTTAGATAATCTAAAAAGAGGGTAATCGGGATAGAGTGAGAGAGAGACAGAGAGAGAGAGAGAGAGAGAGAGAGAGAGAGAGAGAGAGAGAGAGAGAGAGAGAGAGAGAGGAAGAGAGATACTGCAGATGCGAGGGCTTAGAATTTGCTGCATGATAATTTTTTGTAGATTTTTCAAGAACATCGCCCAACGTAGATCTTAATGCCGCTGTATTTTTGTTAGTTTTCGACTTTCTTTAAACGTCATTCGATAGAACCTCAAAAATATTCTAAGATTTTTGTGTACCGTTCAAAATAATATAATTTAAGGTTAGAGAAGCAAGTGACAAAAAAATGTTTCTGTCCTCGATACCCCCCCGCAAAAGAACCAGAACCGAGCAGCTCAACTAAAAATCTGAATTTTCAGATATCGATTGTTCGAGCTCGCCATCAGCTGACGCCGCCGTCGGCGATCTCAGATAAACACATCCCCGATGCCAGCGGAGATGCCATACAAAAACATTTTCCTCGTCTTCCCACACTCTTTCTCCGGATTGCTCACCTCATCCTTTCCCCCGCTACCCTCACCTTCCATCAACACCATTTAATGCCGTTAGAAAATTGTGCCCGACCCCCGGACACCCATCTCTCACTTGTCAAAACATAAACCACCTCCTAGCCACGGCTGGCTAAATTCTATCATTCATTTTCCTTGGCAATCGCGGATGACTTTCCTCTCCCTTGCGTTTTTAGTCTCAAGAATTTTTGGCTAGACTTTGTTCCCCCCACCGCGCATGGGTCCGAAAATTTTCGATATTTTCAGGGTAGATAGATTTCAGAATTCAAATTCAGGATTTTCTTGAACGCCATTCGATAAACCATCCAAAAAATATACTAAGGGTTTTTATCGTACCTTGGAATATTGTAAATTCAAAAAATTATAGCAAATACAAACTAGCTTTAGATGGGGTATAAACGTTGTTTTCCAACAATTTCGGAATTATTTGCGAGATTTTCTAAAGGCATCATGTTATAGAGAGCCATAATAATGTGGCATAAATGAGTTATGGCACAAAACGAGATTTCGACGTGATTTCCTCATGTGCACATTAGGCGAGCCGCTAGTTTTCGATGTTTCCGACATTTTTTCGAGATTTGTTCAGTCCCCTTCTGCAAAAATACACTAAGCATTTTGTTTATAGCTGAAAATAATGTAAAAATCGATTTGTGAGGTACCCCAACATCCATTAGTAAAATTTTCCACCAGACGTAGTCGACAGGGCGTCCCGAAAAACGGCGTGCGGACGGCATTTGGCACTTTCCTCGTTTTCCCAGACTATTTCTCCGGATTACTCACCTCAACTATCTTCCCCCCTACCCTCTCTTCCTCCATCAACACCATTTTATGCCGCTAGAAAATTGGGCCCCACTAGTCAAAACATAAACCACATCCCAACCACACAGTCCGCTAAATATTTTTGCCTCTCCCTAGCAATTGTGGGTGACTTTCTTATCTTTTGGTTTTTACCTTCAAGAATTACTGGCTAGACTTTACTTTAGCCATTTTCTCTGATTATTTTAGGACCTAAAAATGTTCGATATTTTTGAACCCCATTCGACAAAACAGCAAAAAATTGGAGAAATTGAGGCAAATTATCTCGTATGCGACCCCGAAAAACCGCAAAACCTTGCAAAATGGCATGTAAAATAGCGCGTTTAAATAAAATTATGGTATTGAAGATTGGTGCACATCCGCCGTTTCAAGCGCTTTCGAATTATGTAAAAATCATCCCGCTCCGACCTTTCTTCGGACCTCTAGCGTCCGGACGTTATTTTGGGACACCCTCTATACAGTTTTTCTCATCCGTTTCGTTTTTAAATTTCAAGAATTTCCAGAGTTCCGAGCTCAAAATGGCGTTCCCAATGTGGCTATGGCGGCCGAATCATCGCCCAAAAACCCCTGTCCACCCGGATAACTATCTTTGCTGCGGATGCTGCGGGTGTACAGTCAAGGTATCTGGCCGATATCCTGTGGCAAAAATCAAAACATTTTTAGTGTTGGTTCACCTTTGACGCCCTCATGGGCACGTTCGTCCTGGCTGTGACGATTGTGATGGTGATCCTTGCGATCGCCGCCGAGCCCGCTATCCTTCCGTTTCTCCTCAAAGACCCTTTGGTAATTTCAAAATTAATATTGTTAAATCATATATAGTAGGAATATTACTAATTTCAAACACCGGTTTGCAAAATAAGCTATGTTTAGATTTACGCCTGGATCCTCTGGTGGGTTGTCATATTCTTTGCCCTACGTACCATCTGGACGTTGAAACCCAGTTACATGCAGGCCTTTATGATCGTTTTTGTGGGTTAAATTTTAGTAAGGGATATTAAGAAAGAAAGAGAGAGAGAGAGAGAGAGAGAGAGAGAGAGAGAGATAGAGCGGAGGGAACGAGAGACAGTGTGAGAGAGTGAGGAGAGAGTGACAGAGCGGCAGAGAGAACGGAAAAGCCAAAGAGAGAGAACAGGAGAGCCAAAGAGAGAGAGAACAGGAGAGCCAAAGAGAGAGAGAACAGGAGCCAAAGAGCGAGAGAGAGAGAGAGATGGACAGAGCGGGAGAGAGAGCGAGAGAGAGCGGAGGGAGCGAGAGAGACAGTGTGAAAGAGTGAGGAGAGAGTGAGATAGAGAGGGAGAAAGCGCGTACAACAAAAATTCCTACATGTTTAAGTTCGTCGCTGAAATCATCAGCCTGGCCGATACCTGGCTTTTCTGGGATCATGACCACAAGCCGGAGACAAAGGTCCGAGACACTCTGGGACTGATTTGGGGCAGCTTCATCAATTATCAGTATTATCGATATGTGAGGTTGGTGCCACTTTTGGTGTTTCCACTTTTCTATTCCGCAAAATTTGCATAATTTCAGGGATCGTCAACTGGAAATCGAGGAAAGGCAGCTGCTTCCCGAACACGCCGTGACGTACCGCGTTTAAATGAAATCGAAATTCTCAAAAGAAATTAATTCACCAAGAACACTCTTCTCTTACTGTTATTATCCGAAAATTCTGTTTTTTTTTTCGTGAATATTTGCATATTACCCTTGTATTGATCAAATAAATAAGGCTCAAACGGAGTGATAGTGAGAGATCGAGATAGTGTTAGAGAGAGCGAGAGTGAGAGAGAGCGAGAGAGAACGAGACAGAGAAGGAGAGGATGTGAGAGGGACGAGCGAGAGGGAGAGAGTGAGAGGCAGAGAGAAACAGACAGAGTATAACAGCAGAACACAGCAGCGTTAAAGCATAAAACATGTGAAGATCGTTTAGATCTCCATTTGCGGACGAGGTTCTCACAGTTTTATGGAGCCGAGCGCGCTACATATGTTGCCAGTTACAAATAACCCCTACTGCTTTGGCAAAATCGACTTTGATGTGGCTTGGCCTCGCGCTTTTTGGTGTCTTTTTCTGCCTGGCCCATGGCATAGACCCGGGCAAGGATTGTGGGTTTTGATAGGTGCCCACGGCGCCACCCCCCCCCCCTTCCCCCGGTCCTCCTAAAGACGCCCTTTCTAGACTACTGGCGACGCTGTCTCAGACGGCCATTGCAAGTCGGCGACGTCTTCACGGCAAAGGGCAAAATACAGAATGGCATGCAGAGGTAATCAATAACTAGATGAAACCAATCGAATTTTCGTGCGCCGACAGCTTCTCATTACCACAGCCAGAGGGCCCAAGCCTGCCACACATCTCGGAATGTTCTAAAAGTGGCTCCGAAAGCTGGTCCACGGCCCCTTGCGTTGATTCCCGGAAAATAGCCAGATTCGACCGCAGCGCTACCGCGCTGCATGTCTTTTGCTCCCCTGTTTGTGAAAACACTCCACGTGAAAACACCTGAAGTTAGAAATTCTGAAGCCATTTCTGTAATTCTCATCGAATTTTGATGACTCTAAATGTTTTATTATGAGAATTGATCAGTGAATGACCGAGATCGAGAGATCGGGTGCCTTACAAGGCATGACGACATGTAACCGCCGCGCGCTAAAATGTCGTTTTCCATTTTCGCTTTTTAGCTTAGCTAATAAAAATCTTTAGATGGACATGTGGACTCGAGGCAAGATACGCCATTGATGTATTTGGTCACTTTGACCACCGTAACTTCCGGAATTCGTCACATCCGCTGGTGACATATTCGCATCGCCTCGGAACGGAGGTAGGAAGCCGTTGAGTATATAACGTTTTTTTTGCGGATGCCAGAGCATGCAAAGCTAACCCAACTTTTTCAGAAGCCCTGGCAGCCCGGCTATCAATACCGTCAACTTCCGTTCGCCGCCGGAGCGGACTTTGAGATCACGATTCGGTAGCTTTTGATACCATGAGAATCGTCACTCTTTGCATCAGAAATTTTTAGTATAGAGCTGCACATGCAAATTATGTATAGAAAAGACACTTTCCAGAGTGATCACCGCGACCCGGGTACAAGTACAGTATTCTGGGAAGGATGCACGCTGGCCAGGGGCGACTATCAACATCAAGGGAAGGTCCACACCACTCTCTTACGTCAAGCTGTTCCAGGTTTAGTTGCTCCGTTTTTTGTCATTTTTTTTGATTAGTGCTGCGGTGATATCCAGAATGTGACACTCACTGGGACGTCATTGGGCAAAAATGTGGTAAGTCGGCATGCAGAAAATTACAAATTAAATGGATCAGGGAAGGTATGGCTACGGCTTATCGTGCGTGCTCTTCTATGAGTTTTTATAAATTTTAATAGGCGTCACGCCTCGCATTGTTTAATGGATAAGGGTTCATTGGCGCGGTCAAGGAGGGCCAGGTCTTTCAATGCTTCTAGATCCGTCAATGGGACGCACCATGTCCATCGTTTGATTCGTACGGTGACGACGACGATAGCCATAGTCATGAGCATCCTGCGACTCAAAAACCGACGACAAAAGCACCGACAAAGCCGCCGACGAAGGCGCCGACGAAGCGACCACATAGTCACAGTCATAACCACAGCCACAGCCATTCTTCTGATGAGAGCGGGTGGGTCCATGGTAGAAATTCTCGGTTACTGACCGGTCTGGTTTTCTTGATTTAATGTGGGAGGTGAACATGCTTAGAATTGTCAAAAATTAAAATTGTAAGGATGATAATCCTTTGCGGGATGCTTTTAGTAGGGACTTGACTGGAAAAAGTGAGCGCAAAGCGAGCGCTGCGCCTTCCGTTCCAATTCTTTTGACAATGTTATATTTCCAGGAAGTGGCCATCAAATGGTGGCAACGGCAGACGACGTGGCAATGGAGATCGTGGCAGGAATGGAGGTCGAAACGGCCACGGCAGCGGCCGAAATAACGGTCTCGACGATTTGGACCTCGACATCAACCTTGGGCAATTGGTTGTCGATGGCGGTTTAATGGGTCCAGCACCACAGATGCCAGCTTGGCTTGGGAAGAAGTGATTTTGGGGCAATATGTTTTTTAATAAATACGATCAATTTTGTGGGGTGGGCAAGAAAGTCAGTACAGTAGCGTCACAGCTAAGAAAAATTCGCTTTATATTAGCAACAGCAATACTTTTACTGGCATGCAGAGATATATTTCACGAAGCTAATAACATGTTGGACAAGACACCATTCTCTTTATATGCCGCTGCAGCAGAACGATGATCAACCACAACCAGGCGAACATAATCACTGAAAAAAAGTGTAATTTCTTAGCACCCAGCAACAACAATTTTTTTGCGAGACTATGCGAAACAGCATGTCTCCTAAAACCGGCATTACCTCCGACGCCGACATCCAGAAAATCCAACGACATAATGGAAGATACAGCGAGCAAAAGATAGAGAATGCTGAGGAAAAGCTGAAACAAATGTGTACAGTCATCAACAAACCAAAGCACCTACCGCCAAAACACGGGCGACGATTAGAAAACCATAGCGACGAGAATAGACACCGGCAAAAGTGGCAACGCTTGCTGAAAATTATAGATATGTCGAACGTTACCGATTCTGTTGTTAGATAAGTCGAAAACACTGACCGGCGACCGCTATTAGCACAATTATGCATCCCACTATGAAGTAGATCGGTAGGGCCGAGGTTTTGTAGCTCGAAGGGCTAGAAGGCGCTTTTGCACAAAAGTCCAACAAGCAAACGCGGCAGAAGAGACCCATACACTTACTTATTCGCCACATCCCGCCAGAGGATAAACAACAACACGAGATGCGCGATGGGTACCGCGGCGATTGGCAGAGTTAGCAAGGTCAAGATGTTCTAGACAATGTTGAAGCTATTAAGGGGCGGGCCTAGAGGAACAACCTTGGATTTGGTGCGTGATTCTGTCCATTTCTCCTCCGTTAATTTCTAAAAAAACCAACAATCATCAACAAAATGGTATCTAGGGGTGAAAGTCCGAAGCGGTAGTCCAGTAAGCGGCGGGTACACCTAGGACGCTACTTACGCAGTAATGGTTGCCGTCCAAATCCGAAAAATGGTTTTGCCGTTCTTGTACTGGGTCTGGCTTTGGAGCCACTGAAAAGTTTAACATTTCCAAAATACAAATTGCCGGTTTTTAAAATTACGGCAAAAATGAAAACATACCGAAAAAATAGCTGCAAGTGGGGATGCACATCTTTGACGCGAGAGCCGGGAGTCGGCTGCTCGACTGAGCGGGTCACCTTAAGAAAACGCTGCTTTGATGCGATAAGGCTGCCATAATTCAGCGCCGAAAAGCCCACCCAAATGGCGACTAGAGTGGGTTTCCGGTGGGCAAGGAATGGTGGACTGAGCAATAGTACTGAGTATGTATCGTCGTAAACGCTTCTATTGCCCATCGATAATGTCGAACAGAAGAGTGTAAGGACCACACAATTAAGTAAGCCTGGCGGCTATCGAAGAAGTTAAAGGTACACTAAAATATCGTTCAAAAATTTTCGCAGGGATCGGGAATTCGGGTTCTCTGCCGCCTGCGCGCCCCAACCCTTCATAGGCCTTCTCCCCTCTCCCCTTTTCCCTCTCTCCCTTGGCCTATTGTTCTATGGCGCTTGCCCCAGGCGAGTGGCCCGGGTTCGGTTTTGCTCCGCGGCCAGCGCCTACCGTAACCCTGCTTGCTATCCCGCGGACGGGTGCCGGCCGGTAACCAAAGCAACGAGACTTTGGTGTACCTTTAACTTTCACCACCTCCATGCGGGGCACGAGATTGCGCAGCGCCATTTTTTTATGACACAATTTTGTAGCACCTTTAGTTTAGGTATCCTATCCTATAAGCGAGAAAAGTATGTCTGTTTTCTGTAATGACGATTTCTCGGCCGTCAGGCCGAATTTCGCGCTGATTTTTGGCATGGAGGTGGAGAAACACATCTTCCTTATAGGCATTTTTTTGTTTTTCGAAATTCCTTCATTTAACGATTTCACAAGAAAAATAGTGTAAAACCCTTAACATTGTGGCCAAAAAAAGGTTTGTACAGAGGTTATCTCGCGATCCAAATGGAATTGGGCGCTAATTTCTGGAGGGTAGATTGAAAATTGAATTCTCCCGATATATAATTCTGCGTTTTGTCAGATTTTGTAAAATGAAGTTTTTATGAACATTTTTATAAAATGTCGTTAATAAAGTGGGCCAAAAGCCGTGGTGTCCAGCCCATAACTCGAGACCCAGATGGAATTTCGGGCTGGAATTTGGACCACAGATGTATTCGATGGTGGGGATCACGCGCCTCTTATTATCTTTGCAAATTTTTAGCTGATTCATACTCGAAAACCGAATTTTGTAAAGTGACCAGTAGGCCTCCCTCCGGGATCATTGGGTCGCCCTTTTCTTTACCTTCCCCGACCCCCCTTTCCCCAGAACAGAAGAGGGCTTTTCCGTCGCCTGTTCCCATCTGTCCGATGGTGTAGTGGATTTGCGCCCGTTCTACAATGCGCATGATCATCAGTTCGGATCCTGGGAGAATTTAATTTTTTGCTTTTTGGTAGTTCAGCAACAAAACTTATTTCTAGGATCTCGGTGTGCGAGGTTTAGGACTGACGCTCGCTCTAGCTCCGCAGGCCAGAGAAAAGGTCCTTGCCCAGGGTCTCGCGCCGCAGGCCAAATTCGGAAGAAAAAGCAGTAGCTAGCGCCGCAGGCTGAAAGATTCTAGCGCGAGGTTTAGGCCTGGATCTCGCTCTAGCGCCGCAGGCCAAAGAAAGGGTCCTTGGTCCAGGCTCTCTCGCGCCGCAGGCCAAAGAATGGCTCCTTGATACAGGTTCTTGCGCCGCAGTCTAAGAAAGAAGGTATTCGAATTCATCGTTCCTGGATGGGGTCCAGTGGAAAAGGGCCGCGAAGCGGGCTTTTTCCACTGGTCCTACTATATATAAAAAAATAGTTCATGTGTGTGTGTGTGTGTGGACACTTTGCATAAATGGCTCGAAAAAACCCGGTTACCAAGATATCGCGAAGTGGGATCAATTTTAGGACCCAGTCGAAAAGTATTTAGGGGTAGTCGAGGGCGTAGATTACTGCAAGCTTATCAGATTTTTAATAAAATATCGATTTATACCTTATTTTAGCTATTTTAAAACATATGGAAATATCCTCATTTGCATACGAGACGCTAGGAGGCTCATTTCGAATTTTGTCGCGCTAGCGGCCGGTTGCTTTTACCGTTTTTGGGTTCGCTCTCGCTCTTCGCTCGAATTATGCAAAGTGCCCAACTTTGAGAGTTCCGTGCGCGAAGGCCAGGGGTGAAAAGCCGCGTAGCGGCTTTTCAACCCTGGTATAAGTTATTTTTAGAGCATATTACGTTGTTTTAGATACAAAAACCACTCAAAAAATAATTATACTTTTATTTCCAGTTAGGCACGGAGGAAGAAAATCGGTTGTTGGCGCAAACGACGATGAGCGGCATCGGCCTTGCTGCAATTGTGGCTGGGTTTGGTGCGATGTGTTTGGCTGCCCCCGTAGGCATCGTTTGTGCTGGTTCGTTATTTCAATGTTTCCTTTCCGATTTGACGATAAAATTCCGGTGGTGATATTCTGGGAAATCAGGTTTTCCCGAGCGACTCACTAGGAGACGTTTTTGAGTGGGAACTTTGGGATGCGACTTTGGGCTATCTTGTGTAGAATGTCGAGCTGATTCCGAATATTGCTGCCGTTTTTGTGGACTAGCCATTTCTCGAAAGTTATCAACGGTTTAAACCTAAAAACTCCATAAATCGGCTACTTTCGATAGACTCGAAATAGCTTTAGAAAAACGCAAGCTAAGCATTTTGTTTTAAGAAAGTATGTATCGTTTTAATAATGTGCTGAAAAGTTGAAAAGTTATCAAATACCCTTTTTTCAAAATTCGGATTTTTTTGGTGAATGAATTTATTCGGAAGGCACCCATAATTGGAATCAGCACAAAATCCTAAGCTACCTAGCCCTAGGTAGGCTTGGTCCTACCCAACGCCCGGAGGATACTCTAAAACGTATCCTTGTACGCAAAAAAGGATTGCATGCAACAAGAGGTTTCTATCAACAATTTTTCTGCATTTCCAGGATTGGTTGGCGTGCCCCTAGTGACGAGCGTGGGTCATGCCGTTGTATCGGTCGACCGATTCCAAAATGGGGTATCAATACCTTAAGAAAAAAAGATCAATCTCCTACTGGTTTCCAGGAGACAAAGAAATCGATCAATTCGCTTGGTGAAGATGATAAGTAAGAGACTGCGCGAGCAGCTGTTCCGGGATTTGAATCAAGAAATAGAAGCACACGCTGGCATAGTCGTTACCCCGGTCAGTCACCTTAGCAACTAGAATAATTTTGCGGTGGTCCCCGTCTGCCTGTCTGGCTGTCTGTCCAGTCTGCAGCCGAATTCAACCCGAAGCGGAAAGGAGCTAGAACTTAGGTCTCTTCGGGTTCGGATAGAGCGCAGTCGGAAACCCCAAAACTGATCAAAAAAAGGATGAAAATGTTTTCGTTCAAAATATTAGATTTAACTTTGAAAGCGGTGCTTTAGTAAAACGAGGGCGGCTAATAGCACGATTTTGGGCATAGTAGCCAGGTCGCGCGCGTTTCAGCTAGGGGAGGGAGCGCAGGGGGTAGCCCGAAGTCCGGCCGAAGTCCTGTGAGCGGCTGGTAATAATAGCAGTTCAAAAAAGCGTCAAAAGATGCCTGATCAAAAGATTCAACGTTAAAAGCAATTTAGTCACATACGGTGGGTGAATACGCGGAACTGGCTGTCAAAGGATTTTTTATGCCGGTCGGCAGCAATGGGATAATGGGCGGTAGATTGGTCCTCACTGGGCTAACTATTACGGTGATGAATTCAGGCTAAGGCTAAATTCAACAATTCAGGACAGGCTAGCGACTGGCGTGTTTCTGGGCGCGACTGGCTTCGCGTTTGTTGCCGAGACCTACACTCTTCTTTCATCGATTTCAAAATGGCGAACAACGAAAAAGGGCAACTACATAATGCTACACGACAGGTATCTTGTGATGCCGTGTTGAAACCTATGAAATTTTTTGTAGAGATCGACCAGGCTCAAAAATTCATTTAGACGATCAAAGAACTTCACAAAGATACGGGGCAGATCGCCGTCGAATTAGATAAAATCCTACGCATCAGCTTCATGAAGGCCATGAGTTCGACGATCGGCGCAGACGATTTTCAGGAAAATGCCAATATTGAGCTCGAGCATCTAGACGACTTGCTACCATGCGCCGCTAAATATAAGCAGGCTCTCGAACCGCAGAATTGAGCTCCAGACCGGCTGCCCAAACACTGGGAATTTCTCAATAACTTCCCAAAAATTCCGTTTCTTGATTAGGCTTCTGAATAAACATTGCGATTATTAAAAAAAGATATTAAGGAAAAAGTAAAAAAAAACAGAGTTGAAGTTTATTCAGTAATTTCATTCTCTCCGATTTTTTTTCTCATTGTTGCTGATAGCTATCGATTAAACCGCCGTCCCCCGCCCGAACGGCACGAGCCATTTTCATGTGCAAGAAAAGGGCAAAAATGACCATCAAATCGCCGCATTCTCTTCAGTCTCCGCGTTTTAACGCTAGTGTTTTGATAGTAACATCTTTCTTTCCTTTCACTCGTTTTTCAGGCAAAGTTGGCAAAACGCAAGTTTTTTCAAGCTTTTTGATGATCGATCGATGGATGGGTTATCGATCCCCCATCTCTCATCTAGTTTTCTAATTCTCACGAGTTTCATCTATCTTCTTGATCCGATTTTTAGGATGGATTCATACGATCTGTTCAAACAGCAAATCTCCCAAAAACTGGCCACTTTCAAGCAGGAGAGAACCGAATCAATTATCGAGCCATTGGCCATCATTGCCGATGAGGTGAGAAGGGGCAGGCTGGCAGGGATCCTTTGAATCACTGAATTTCTATTATATTACTCTTTCCAGTCGGCCCTCAACGAAAAAGTCCGCCAGAAAGTGAACCTAGTGTTGAGTGGGACGAGTTTTGTCTCGTACCTAGCCGCTGCCGCGGTTGTGTTTTCCTCGGAACCGGCCGCCGGAGCAGGTTCGTCCCGTTTTTCAGTCGATTTTTGAATCAGGAACCTAAAGCGTTACCTTCTTTTGTAAAGATACGAAATTGCGTTTGCAAAAGCGATTTTCTGCCCAAATGTTTCGGTTTAAGCAAAATTTCCAAAATTTCGGCTGATTGCTAAGTTTGTGCAAAAGTTTCTTTCCTTCAAATGTGTCTAAAATTGGCTATAATACGGTTAAGCTAGAATTATAAAACGAGAACGTCTCGAATCAGCTATTTTATGAGTTTTTACGGTTTCAGCAATGGTTGTCCCGCTCATCGCCTCGATAGGGCATGCAGGGGTGGCGGTCTTTAACTCGGGAGCAAAGGTATTGATTTCAAGCATTAAAAAATTATAAAAATACTATTTTAGACACTAAAGCAGCGAATGGAAGACCTTGCTAGTGCGGATCGACGGTTGCGAGAACAGCTGTTCCAGGATATTACTCAAGTGTTACAGGCCGAGAAGGGCATCATTAAGCAACCGGAAATGGTCAGTTTTCTTGCCTTTTTTTAAATTTTTGTATAGGGAGTGGCCGAATATGCAGAGCTGGCAGCCGGCTTCATCTTGCCTGGATGCCGATCGACGATATTTGCTGGCGGATTGGTGGGGAAAAGCATTGGTGGATTGGATATTACGGTAACTAGGTTGTCAAGCCTCCCAGAAATTGTCTCAATCTAGGAAAAGCTATTCGGCCGTCTCTTTGTGGGGACAACATTGCTGGGTGTTGCCTCGGACGCTGTGACGATCATTTCATCGATTAGAGGGCTCAAAAACGATCAAAAGGGCCAATTTCACGATGCTGTCATCAAGGTACTGTATTTTCCGAGATTTACTTTTTAGAAATGGTTTTTTTAGACAATCGAAGAGCTAGATGCCGATACGAAATATATCGAATCGATGCTTGATAATGTCCTTCGTGTCAGTTTTATGAATGCGATGTGCTTGATAATTAAGGAAGAAAACTTTGAAGCTCAGGCGATCCATTTCCAATTTGAAAATATCGATCTGAGAGCGGCTTGAATAATCTATTACCTATAAATCTAGAATTGAATTGTGGCGATATCTGCTGTGTATAAAAGTTTTATACAAAATCCGTCAAACTAACATCATGGCAAAATCGACGCTAAGAAACGAGATTCCAAGAACACCTTTCGTGAGAGAAACCTGACAATCTATCTTTTTGAAGCTATCCGTTTTAAATATTAATATAACATTGTTGGGGATATCGAGCGCCATCAATCGATGAAGCGTTCCGCAACCAAACAGCCGGTCCCATTTTGATGCGCAAGAAAATAAAGGCACAAAGATAAGGAGAAGATTTTTCCCCGACATCCATCCATTTGTATGCCCAGCATCATTCAATGGGTGTTATTTTTATTCTTATTATTCCTTTTCAATAGTTCATTTTTTGATTTTTCCGAATTATCAGCCTAGATCGTATAATCTAAAAATTAATCTTCGCGGTTGAATTAGCTGCATTGAATTTTTTTCGAAATTAGATATCTTAGGAATGGAGGAATACAACCGATTCAAGCAAGCGATTGCCGAAAAATTGGCAACTTTCAAGCAACAGAGAGCGGATTCTGTGATCGCTCCATTGGCTGTAATCGCTAACAACGTATGGATTAAACATACCGAATAAAGTTAAAAAGTTACTTATTGAAATTTGTTACAAAACTTTCACACATTTTTAGTCCGCCTTGGATGAGCAAGCAACAGCGAAATTTCAACTGTTTTTGAGCGGGACGAGTTTTGCGTCTTATTTTGCTTGCATAATATCGCCAGCAGGTTTGTCCTTTCGATCGATTAACATTTTATTTTATCTAGTTACGGATTTTTACTCTATTTTACTTAGAGTTTTTAGCATTACTCGTCCCGATGATAACTGCCGTTTTCCAGGCCACGCTCACTTTCGTCAATTCCGGCACAGCTGTATCTTTTTCCTGTATTTTTAATTTCAGAGCAGTCCTAGATGCTTTAAAAATTTTTGATGCAAGATTATGCTTTTTTCAAGGCGTTTTTTTATCAAAATATTTCAGGCGGCGAAAGCGACGTTCGAAAAAATTGGGGAAATCGATCGGCGACTCCGCGAACAATTATTTCTCGATCTAAATCAGGCAATACGCGATCAAAATGGCATCATCAAGGCCCCAGATATGGTTAGTCGAGTTGCGCTTAATGTGAAATTTTAACCGCTTTTCAGGGCGTAACTGAATACGCAAACCTGGCCGCCAACGGCTTGATTTTGCCCGGATGCCGTTATACCATCTTTTGCGCGGAATTGATTGGGAAAAGTATTGCCGGATTTAAGATTACGGTCAGTTTCAATCTTTGAAAAGTATAGGCTTAGAAACAGTGATAAAAATAAGCGATTCCAGGAAGAGGTCATCGTCCAGCTATTTGGTGCTACAACGACGCTTGGTGTGGCAGCTGATCTCTGGGGCATATTTTCCTCTATTAAATGCCTTTCAAAGGATCAAAAAGGACAACTATACGATGCTACCGTTAAAGTACGAAACTATACTTGAAGGGGTCGCAATTAATGGCTAGCGAACTTGCGAATTTTTGGGCTAACTTTGATTTTTGCGTTTGATTTGCCTGAAAATCCCATAGAGATCCCATACCTAGAAAATCGATAGCCAGGACTTTCCGGTCCCTTTAATCGAAAACCTGCTCCTATATCGGTATTTTTAGACAATCGAAGAGCTCGACAATGATACGAAAGATATCGAAAAACTCCTCGACAACTTACTACGCCTCAATTTTATGAAGGCCATGCATCCGGTGATAGGCAGTGAAAACTTTGATGCCCGTTTCCCCGAAGAATCCGACGATATTGCACTTGAAGCAGCTTGAGAACCCACTACAACATAATAATTCACCAACCTTGCACGACATAACAACGATTGAAATTTCGCGGCATCGAATTTTGCATAGAATTTAGCGTGACGCTAGTAAATTGTTTAGCCGCGCATTGATTTTGTATTTTGTAGTTTATTTTCTCATGTTCAGCCTCAAATTACCTCTAAAAGTTTATTCGTATTACAACGCAAACATATGTCAATCAATAATCACATTAAAATTAACGATTTTTACATTAAAATTGGGTACATTACTATCTTATACTCAATACAATTTCCACACTACATGAACTATTTCTAGTTCCTTGTATTTTTCTAAAACGATTCGAGCAAAAATTAAGCAAATATATTGGGTCAAAGTCTTATTTATTAATCGTAGACTTATCGATGATACACATAAGTATGGGAAATATACTGATCCCGCTCCCCCTTCACGGAACTCTCGATCCTTTCTTCGCAGCGAGCCGATAAAACAGCATGCAATTTGCTCGAGGTTAATATCAATACTTTTCCGTCTTCGCGTCGAATTCTTGCCACGTATTCGCCTCGATAGATGGCATCATATCGCTCCGGGACCCAAAATTTGGCCGTTTTCTGCGAGGGTATATCCTCCTCCGACAAATCAAAATGTATCCTCCAGATGTCTCGTTTATATACCAGCCATTCGTCTAGAAATCCCGAAAGAATCTCGCGTAGTTCTAACAGACTGTAATGGCCGTACAACTTGATTTGCGAATGCTTGAACTGCAGGTACCATCCGGCTTCTTCCTCATATTTCGGCAGGCTAATTCGTAGTTTTTCTGCCGAATTGTTTATGAAATTGATGACGTCACCGGATGGATCTCTTCGCGGCTTTTTTGTTGCTAGTCGCACGTCGATTTTACGGAATTTCCACCCGGGTTTCTTGAACTTTTCAAGCTGCTCGGCGGTCCACAGGTGGGGATGGCCAATGACGAGCGAAGAGGCCGTCAATCGAAGCAAAGAAGCCATCCCAAATGGCTTATAAAGAATGGCCATTTTAAAGTGGGCACCCTGGATGATGGAACTACAGATGGAGGGCAAATTCACGTCGAATCCTGATCCACAAAGCCCTGTAACTTTCACAATTCCCCATCCGGTCGATTCGATGGTTGAGAAATAGCGTGGACTCGAGCAGACGAGCTCCCAGTTCCGTCGGCTTGTAGTGGCGAGTTTCATGAGGTCATTCAGGTCATTGTGTAGGTAGATGATAATCTGGGGCTGCACAACGACCGGCAACTCCGCGAAGTCCAGCCGCGTCCATTCCGATTCGCGATTCGGAACCTAGTAAGGCATATTTTTAAATATAAATAGTCAATGTGTTTCTAAGCGTTTTATCAATTTTTATTAAGAACTATCAAAAATATGGATTTTTCGACGAAGAATGGCGGATTTTTACCGAATTTCGATTTTAATAAAACATTTTCAAATTTTTAGGTAGTTTTAGGTTAATTCTGGCTGAAATATTGCATTAAAAACCATTAAAACACCTTTCATTAAGTTACTAGACCTTTCTAACGGTATACAAAAAGGTTTTTTTGGTAAGTAAAAAACGGCGATCGAAACTACGTGGCAATCGGCAAATTTGCGTTTTTCACTTCAAAACGGGGCTAGATCAAGCGCGGCGCGGTCGCGTTGCAGTCGTATCTGGCTCTTTGCCAGAGATCAATACTGATGGGGTTGGCAAGACTTTTTTGGTCCCTTTAACGCCACTTACATTTGAAGCCAGCCGCCTTTGAGAAGCGCCATAATCGGGGTACACATTGCAAATGACGCGACGAATGTCATCAGACAGCTCGAAATAAGACATTCTGTCATGCAATAAAAAATCTGGATATTTTTTTGGGATACGAGGGAAGTGTTTTTTTGAACCAGCTCGCAAATCGCTACGTAACATCAATCGATAGAGAATTGAAAATAAAGGTGAGGTTTAAATATTAATTTTTGCGGAACTCCCCTCTTTAAAAAGTTATTTGGGTTCTAAAGGCTTTCCTTAATAAAACTTGTGAATTTTCAAACGCAAAAATCTTGTCGTTTCGGCTTGATTTCGCAAAAGCAAACCTCACCATCTTGTTCAGAAAATTTTTCTTTATCCTTGGAGCTATCTAACTCAAAAATTTTGGAGATTAGAAAATTTGGAAAAATTGACGATACTTGGTATGCCTTATCTCTATGTAAACTTCGACATTTTCGCACGATTCCAGTCTCCTGAAACGTGTCTAATGAAGCGACCCGGCACTAATAAAATATACAAAATTTCTCTATCAGATAGGCTATTTAAACCCAATTTAAAATCACAAATCAAAAGGTTCGATTTTGAGAAAATGGGTTCCAGGAACCTTGGAAAAATCTAATAACTTTTTAAAGAGGGGAGTTCCGCAAAAATTAATATTTAAACCTCACCTTTATTTTTATTTCTCTATCGATTGATGTTACGTAGCGATTTGCGAGCTGGGTCAAAAACACTTCTCTTGTTGGGAAAATTCAATGAATTTACTTCGAAAAAGAATGAATCTGAATAAACGTAGCTTACAAAACTAAAAATGATATCCATTCATACATCAGTTTTTGATTAAATTTCATAATCAAGGTTTTAAGGTCTGTAAAATTAAGGGAAAAAGATGAGATATGGTGTACGGTTGTATGCATATCTAATGAGTAGCTGGCCAACGAGAGTGCCATTCAAAATCGCGCCCCTTTTGACCTAGTTTCCTTTGGGATGGCCGTTATTTTGGAGGACGGATTACGGTATATATGGGTCGAAGCCCGGGGGCGCCGCCAAAGGCGCCCCCGAGGCACCCCCTGTGGGGCGTGCCGAGTGGCGCCTGGGGGCGCCGCCCCTATGATTTTTAACGGGGCGGGGGGCGTCACCAACGGCGCCTGTGAGATTATGCAAATTTTCTAGTCTAATGTTAATTATTCATTTCAAGCGCAAGAGCGACGGACAGTAGAGAGAACCTGCAAATAACTTTTCCTCTTGCACTTCAGAACAGCGCATCAACGTAATAGTCAGCCTTTTAATAATGTTTTTAGTAAAATTTAACTATCTTTTAAGTGGAAAAAAAATGGAAGGAATTTTAGGCGGAAATTTCGAAATTGGAAGTGAGATTGGAAATATCGGCAATTTTTCGCAGAAAAATCTATATTTTTCTGTATTTAAGTCACAGTTGGTAAAGTTTTTACGTTTAAGAATAATAACAACAGTTTGGAAAGCTTCCACTATTTCTTTTACAGGACAAGGTCCTTAGAAAAAAGCTGGTCCCCCATAAACACCCCCTTCCTCTACAATGCGAAAGGATCAGGGAAAAATTATAGGCCAATCAACTAATAGTTTTTGCCTTCTTTGATATTAAGGATCAGCAGCCAAATCTGATTTCCATAATAACACCGCATCTTTGCTTTGCATCTCGGTTTTCCGGCGTCTTTTGGTCAGCCCCAGGCGCCGCCACAGGCGCCACTCGGCACGCCCCCAGGGGGTGCCTCGGGAGGCGCCCTGGGCGGCGCCCCCGGGCTTCGACCCATATATAGATTACGGTACATCTACAGATCTGCTGAATACAGTAAATCATTGAGGCGTTTAATTTTGTTGATATTGCGTGTTGCATTGAATTCCAATAATCCAATAATTGATTCTTGGAAATAAAAATGCTTTATCGATAGCATTTCAATAAATATAATGTAAATACGATAAAGCAAAATTTCGTTTATGAATATATCGTTTCCCGTATCCCTGCAAAATCGTAAAATCGTGTAAAAAGCGATAGGTATTGTAGTTTTAAAGTACCACAAAGAATTGAATAATGGACAAACAAGGAGTGCTTTTTTGAGTCATTGGCAAACCCTTACGAGACCTAGCTCATTCGATAGAGAATTCAATTCTGAACAAGATGGTATTGTTCCTATTTGCAGAATAGTCTCTTCGATTTTATAGAATTTAAAAACTAGAGGCCTTCTCTTGCCATGAGTACCCTTCGAGCGCAAAGAGAGGCTTTCGGGTGCAGTTTTTAAATTTGAGAAAATCTGGGATAACCATTCCGCGAAAAAGGACACCGGACTCTGCTCAGCATCGAATTCTCTATCGAATGAGCTAGGTCTCGTAAGTTTTTGCCGATGACTCAAAAAAGGCACTCCTTGCAAGCAAAATGGTAATAAATAATTAAACAGAAACTTTATTCAAGCGGGTATAAAGGTGTTTATTAGTAGCTTTATTCAAGGTATAAAGCGTGTAAATAATAAACCAGAAGTTTTTCACTATGCTTCAATCCTTTCTTCGCCACGAGCTGATAGAACGGCGTCCCATTCGCAGGAGGTCAGTGTTAATACTTTTCCATCGTCTCGTCGAATTTCTGCAACGAATTGACCACTATAAATGGCGTTGTACCTATCTGGGATCCAAAATGTCGCAGGTCTCTTGTCCCAGGATCTTTCTACTGCCGTCAATTCAAAATGTATCCTCTCAATATCACGGCTAAAGGCCAGCCATTCATCCAGCCACAACCAAAGAATTTCCTTTAGATTTCCCACATAGCACGGTCCGCATAAACTGATGTGTGCCTGTTTAAATTGAACATATGTTTCCGTTTCTCCCTCAAATTGCGACAGTTGAATTCGAATTTCGTCGGCTGACTCGTTGATGTAGTCGATCACGTCTCTGGAGAGATTAGTCGCCGAGTACAAAGTGATTTTTCGGAGATTCCCCTCGGGCTTCTTCAAATTAGCGAGCTGCTCGACCGTGACGTATGGGTTGGTGATGATGAGCTCAGAGGCGATTAATCGTGGTAACGGGACCCTAAGCCCGTATGGCCCAAGAGGCACCACGTCAACTTGGGCCCCATCGATGAAGGAACGCCAAATTTTGGGACTTTTAAGGGAACCATGTGCTCCACAAAGCCCTTCCACCCGCACATGGCACTTTCCGATCAGTTCGATACTCGAGAAATAGCGTGGCCCCTGGCAGACCATTTCCCAGCTGTTCCGACTTGTCGCGGTGAATCTCATTAGGCAATATAGGTCGTTGTGGAGGTAGTTGATGATCTGTCGCTTCACCATCGCTGGCAATCTCGGAAAGTCGAGTATCTGAAAGAGGCAGTTTCATTGAGTAGGTTGCAGGACGATTCGGAACCTTTTACGAAATACAGGGCGTCCGAAAACCACTTCCCCCCCCCCCCCTCTATTCGGCCGCAGCAGCGTCCGATTTTGAACGTGGGGCAAAACCGAACTCGGACCACTCGCAGGAGGCGAGCACCTTACAATTAGACCGTGAGGCCATGGGAGGAATGGGAAGGGGAGAGGGGCTATCAAGGGTTCCTGCGCCTGGCCGCCAGGCCGCCATATTCCTGCCGCTGACCAGGGTTTCGAGAGCGGAATGTACCTCTAAGGCAGGCCACTTACATTTGGGGAAAGGGGCGCTTGTGTGATGGAGTGCCAATTGGGGAAAAGATTGCGCATCTTTTCGTGGCTGGCATCTGGCAGCTCGAGTTCATGCATTGAATCTGAAAAATATAAGGTTCGGATAATTCAGAATTTACGTTGAAAACTCAAATCTGAAAGAACAAAACTCACAAAACTAAACATAATACATTTTATTAAATAAAATAAATACATTAAGCTCGGTAAAATTAAGGTAAAAAGATTAGATATAGTGTTCGGTTGTATGCATATTTAATGACTTGCTCGCAAAGAAGATTATCATTCAAATCCGCGCACCTTTTGACCTAGTTTTTTAGGAGGGCCGTATTATTTTGAGAGCGTATTAATTTGCATCCATTTAAGCAATTCGCTTCAAAAATTACCGTTTCGTGCGGTATGGGGGCGAAGGTGAAAAATCATTGAATGGTACCGGCATCGGAGGACAATGACTCGGTTCCGCTATCGGACAAAAATAATTCTTTTCGCACGGTATCAAATCACAGAATGCATAATACAGAGGGCGAGAGGATCAGGGTTCCAGCATATCCTTCATCAGCTCGCGGATGGGGTCGGATGAGAGAGAGGCGATGGAGGAGAATGACTGCTCCATGTCGCCGGTCTCGGTCTCCTCTTTCAGTGTTTCGTCTTGGCGCTGGTGTTGGAGGGGGAGCAGGGGGGTTGAAGGGAGGACGACCTCATCATCCTGTCGAGTCCGTTCGATCTTCTCGGCTTTCCTAAACAATATTTATTGACCTTAAGATCGAACAAACCGCGTGCATGTGATGAAGGGCAATGTGGGATCCTTTGGGCGGAAGCGGCCACAATCCTTGCAGTTGGTGCCGGCCATCTGGAAAGGTTTAGTGAATTTCGTTATTTCCCCTTTTTTACGAGAGAATTATGGAAAACCAGAGTGCGAGAAATGATTCGATAATACCACGGCGGGGGTCGAACCCGCATACCATGGACTGACACGCCCCCACGCACCCCCCTACACTAATAGGGGGGGGGGGGGCAAGAGACAGAGAGAGGAAGTGGAATCAGAGGGGATAAGAGGGCGCAGACAGCCAAAATTTAGACTCGCAGCCGCTGTAATAGACTCAATTAGCAAAATTCTTTCACTAACGACATCCTTGCCAGTCAGTTAGTTGATCTAGCGGGGTATGGAAAAATCAAAATATTCTAGAAGTCATCAGGAGCATGTCGTCGTCACTTGGGCAACCGGTTGATCTGGAGGGGGTTCGCATCCGCTGTAACAGCTCGAGTTCATATAATTCTTTCACTAACGACATCCTTGTCACACAGTTAGTTGATCTAGCGGGGTATGGAAAAATCAAAATATTCTAGAAGTCATCAGGAGCATGTCGTCGTCACTTGGGCAACCGGTTGATCTGGACGGGGGTTCGCATCCGCTGTAACAGCTCGAGTTCATATAATTCTTTCACTAACGACATCCTTGCCAGTCAGTTACAGGATCTAGCGGGGTATGGAAAAATCAAAATATTCTAGAAGTCATCAGGAGCATGTCGTCGTCACTTGGGCAACCGGTTGATCTGGACGGGGGTTCGCATCCGCTGTAACAGCTCGAGTTCATATAATTCTTTCACTAACGACATCCTTGCCAGTCAGTTACAGGATCTAGCGGGGTATGGAAAAATCAAAATATTCTAGAAGTCATCAGGAGCATGTCGTCGTCACTTGGGCAACCGGTTGATCTGGACGGGGGATCGCATCCGCTGTAACAGCTCGAGTTCATATAATTCTTTCACTAACGACATCCTTGTCACACAGTTAGTTGATCTAGCGGGGGTATGGAAAAATCAAAATATTCTAGAAGTCATCAGGAGCATGTCGTCGTCACTTGGGCAACCGGTTGATCTGGAGGGGGTTCGCATCCGCTGTAACAGCTCGAGTTCATATAATTCTTTCGCTAATGACATCCTTGTCACACAGTTAGTTGATCTAGCGGGGTATGGAAAAATCAAAATATTCTAGAAGTCATCAGGAGCATGTCGTCGTCACTTGGGCAACCGGTTGATCTGGACGGGGGATCGCATCCGCTGTAACAGCTCGAGTTCATATAATTCTTTCACTAATGACATCCTTGTCACACAGTTAGTTGATCTAGCGGGGTATGGAAAAATCAAAATATTCTAGAAGTCATCAGGAGCATGTCGTCGTCACTTGGGCAACCGGTTGATCTGGAGGGGGTTCGCATCCGCTGTAACAGCTCGAGTTCATATAATTCTTTCACTAACGACATCCTTGCCAGTCAGTTACAGGATCTAGCGGGGTATGGAAAAATCAAAATATTCTAGAAGTCATCAGGAGCATGTCGTCGTCACTTGGGCAACCGGTTGATCTGGAGGGGGTTCGCATCCGCTGTAACAGCTCGAGTTCATATAATTCTTTCACTAACGACATCCTTGTCACGCAGTTAGTTGATCTAGCGGGGTATGGAAAAATCAAAATATTCTAGAAGTCCTCAGGAGGAGGTCGTCGTCACTTGGGCAACCGGTTGATCTGGAGGGGGTTCGCATCCGCTGTAACAGCTCGAGTTCATATAATTCTTTCGCTAATGACATCCTTGTCACACAGTTAGTTGATCTAGCGGGGTATGGAAAAATCAAAATATTCTAGAAGTCATCAGGAGCATGTCGTCGTCACTTGGGCAACCGGTTGATCTGGAGGGGGTTCGCATCCGCTGTAACAGCTCGAGTTCATATAATTCTTTCACTAACGACATCCTTGTCACGCAGTTAGTTGATCTAGCGGGGTATGGAAAAATCAAAATATTCTAGAAGTCCTCAGGAGGAGGTCGTCGTCACTTGGGCAACCGGTTGATCTGGAGGGGGTTCGCATCCGCTGTAACAGCTCGAGTTCATATAATTCTTTCACTAATGACATCCTTGTCACACAGTTAGTTGATCTAGCGGGGTATGGAAAAATCAAAATATTCTAGAAGTCATCAGGAGCATGTCGTCGTCACTTGGGCAACCGGTTGATCTGGACGGGGGATCGCATCCGCTGTAACAGCTCGAGTTCATATAATTCTTTCACTAATGACATCCTTGTCACACAGTTAGTTGATCTAGCGGGGTATGGAAAAATCAAAATATTCTAGAAGTCATCAGGAGCATGTCGTCGTCACTTGGGCAACCGGTTGATCTGGAGGGGGTTCGCATCCGCTGTAACAGCTCGAGTTCATATAATTCTTTCACTAATGACATCCTTGTCACACAGTTAGTTGATCTAGCGGGGTATGGAAAAATCAAAATATTCTAGAAGTCATCAGGAGCATGTCGTCGTCACTTGGGCAACCGGTTGATCTGGAGGGGGTTCGCATCCGCTGTAACAGCTCGAGTTCATATAATTCTTTCACTAACGACATCCTTGCCAGTCAGTTACATGATCTAGCGGGGTATGGAAAAATCAAAATATTCTAGAAGTCATCAGGAGCATGTCGTCGTCACTTGGGCAACCGGTTGATCTGGAGGGGTTCGCATCCGCTGTAACAGCTCGAGTTCATATAATTCTTTCACTAACGACATCCTTGCCAGTCAGTTACAGGATCTAGCGGGGTATGGAAAAATCAAAATATTCTAGAAGTCATCAGGAGCATGTCGTCGTCACTTGGGCAACCGGTTGATCTGGAGGGGGTTCGCATCCGCTGTAACAGCTCGAGTTCATATAATTCTTTCACTAACGACATCCTTGTCACACAGTTAGTTGATCTAGCGGGGTATGGAAAAATCAAAATATTCTAGAAGTCATCAGGAGCATGTCGTCGTCACTTGGGCAACCGGTTGATCTGGAGGGGGTTCGCATCCGCTGTAACAGCTCGAGTTCATATAATTCTTTCACTAACGACATCCTTGTCACACAGTTAGTTGATCTAGCGGGGTATGGAAAAATCAAAATATTCTAGAAGTCATCAGGAGCATGTCGTCGTCACTTGGGCAACCGGTTGATCTGGAGGGGTTCGCATCCGCTGTAACAGCTCGAGTTCATATAATTCTTTCACTAACGACATCCTTGCCAGTCAGTTACATGATCTAGCGGGGTATGGAAAAATCAAAATATTCTAGAAGTCATCAGGAGCATGTCGTCGTCACTTGGGCAACCGGTTGATCTGGACGGGGTTCGCATCCGCTGTAACAGCTCGAGTTCATATAATTCTTTCACTAACGACATCCTTGCCAGTCAGTTACATGATCTAGCGGGGTATGGAAAAATCAAAATATTCTAGAAGTCATCAGGAGCATGTCGTCGTCACTTGGGCAACCGGTTGATCTGGACGGGGGTTCGCATCCGCTGTAACAGCTCGAGTTCATATAATTCTTTCACTAATGACATCCTTGTCACACAGTTAGTTGATCTAGCGGGGTATGGAAAAATCAAAATATTCTAGAAGTCATCAGGAGCATGTCGTCGTCACTTGGGCAACCGGTTGATCTGGACGGGGGTTCGCATCCGCTGTAACAGCTCGAGTTCATATAATTCTTTCACTAACGACATCCTTGCCAGTCAGTTACAGGATCTAGCGGGGTATGGAAAAATCAAAATATTCTAGAAGTCATCAGGAGCATGTCGTCGTCACTTGGGCAACCGGTTGATCTGGACGGGGTTCGCATCCGCTGTAACAGCTCGAGTTCATATAATTCTTTCACTAATGACATCCTTGTCACACAGTTAGTTGATCTAGCGGGGTATGGAAAAATCAAAATATTCTAGAAGTCATCAGGAGCATGTCGTCGTCACTTGGGCAACCGGTTGATCTGGACGGGGGTTCGCATCCGCTGTAACAGCTCGAGTTCATATAATTCTTTCACTAACGACATCCTTGCCAGTCAGTTACAGGATCTAGCGGGGTATGGAAAAATCAAAATATTCTAGAAGTCATCAGGAGCATGTCGTCGTCACTTGGGCAACCGGTTGATCTGGACGGGGGTTCGCATCCGCTGTAACAGCTCGAGTTCATATAATTCTTTCACTAATGACATCCTTGTCACACAGTTAGTTGATCTAGCGGGGTATGGAAAAATCAAAATATTCTAGAAGTCATCAGGAGCATGTCGTCGTCACTTGGGCAACCGGTTGATCTGGAGGGGTTCGCATCCGCTGTAACAGCTCGAGTTCATATAATTCTTTCACTAACGACATCCTTGCCAGTCAGTTACAGGATCTAGCGGGGTATGGAAAAATCAAAATATTCTAGAAGTCATCAGGAGCATGTCGTCGTCACTTGGGCAACCGGTTGATCTGGACGGGGTTCGCATCCGCTGTAACAGCTCGAGTTCATATAATTCTTTCACTAATGACATCCTTGTCACACAGTTAGTTGATCTAGCGGGGTATGGAAAAATCAAAATATTCTAGAAGTCATCAGGAGCATGTCGTCGTCACTTGGGCAACCGGTTGATCTGGAGGGGGTTCGCATCCGCTGTAACAGCTCGAGTTCATATAATTCTTTCACTAACGACATCCTTGCCAGTCAGTTACAGGATCTAGCGGGGTATGGAAAAATCAAAATATTCTAGAAGTCATCAGGAGCATGTCGTCGTCACTTGGGCAACCGGTTGATCTGGACGGGGGTTCGCATCCGCTGTAACAGCTCGAGTTCATATAATTCTTTCACTAATGACATCCTTGTCACACAGTTAGTTGATCTAGCGGGGTATGGAAAAATCAAAATATTCTAGAAGTCATCAGGAGCATGTCGTCGTCACTTGGGCAACCGGTTGATCTGGACGGGGGTTCGCATCCGCTGTAACAGCTCGAGTTCATATAATTCTTTCACTAATGACATCCTTGTCACACAGTTAGTTGATCTAGCGGGGTATGGAAAAA